GTTAGCTTGTGTTTGACGATAAAGGAGGCTATATTCTCCAATGTGTTCCAATCCAGCGAGCTATCTCCGGCGGGACAGGGCATGTCTCACGCACGTAATAATAATAATGTAATAATTATTGTCCCTGTAATAATACGCATTATATCATGTCCTATCATTGGCCATGCATCGTTTCTGGACGAGAATTTACACTTTCAGACATCGTTTTATCGGGCAGCGAGTTCATGATCCAACTCACACGACTTGAACATGGAAAGTTCTGATGGTTTGAAATGGTCGGAATGGAGGATTTTTCATTGTCAGCTCAGTTTTCTGAGCCGTCTGTAAGGATCTGCCATCATCCAACTTCTTCTTGCGTATGGCGGGGGGGGGTTAATTAGCAACATTTTATATGTCCATGTCAAGGTTGGAGATCCAGTTGGAGGCTGTTGGGGTAAGCTCAAGATATTTCCATGGTTCCTGCAAAAGAACGGAGTGGGCACTGATGAATAATGTGCTGGATGGTTTGGTCTTCGAAACTGCAGTCACATCTGGGGTGGTCTTGATTTTCCACCGGTGCAAGAGGTGGGCGCAGCGGCCGTGCGAGGTGCGGATACGGTTAAGCATGGTCCACTGCTTCCTTGGCAGGTCGAAGCCAGCAACTTCTGTGGTGGGATCAGAAACGAGCCTTTTGTTGGGGACGATGGCTTTGATCCACATGGCTCTCCACTGTTCCTCCAGGTCAAAGGAGGACGCGTCGAGAGCAATAGCTCTGACCCAGGGAGGGTTCCGAGATTTTAGCCGGGTCCTCGGCGGATTTTCTAGATCCTCAATAATTGGTAGGTCAGGTTTGGCTTTTATTCGGCTAAAGATGCGTGATGTCTGCGCGTCTCTGCGGATCTTGGGAGGTGGAATATGAGAGAGTGTTGGTAGCCATTCGACAGGGGTGGATTTTGGAGTTCCCGTAATCAGACGCATCGATGCGTCGAGTTGGGCGTCCAAGCCCTTGGTGTGTGCACTGCGCGACCAAACTGGAGCACAGTATTCAGCAGGCGAGTAAACCAGTGCTAATGACGCTGTTCGTAGTGTGCGCGCCCCGGCACCCCACGAGGTTCCGGGCAGTTTGCGCACGACGCTAACCCTAGCCTTCACTTTGTTGCGTGTCCTTTCGAGGTGAGGTCTGAAGGTGAAGCTGCGGTCCAGGGTAACGCCTAGATATTTTGACTTGGCCTCATTATTTACTCGATGGCCGCAGGATATAGGAAGAGTCGTTTTAGCGGCGCGGTTGTCGAGATGGAATGCGGTGACTGATGTTTTAGTCGGGTTAGGGCGGAGGTTAGGGTCGGATCATCCAACTGAAGAAATGCAAGGGTCAATTGAGGCAAAATGCTAGCGAATGTAATTAATCAGTAGTCCAAGATGAGAAATAAGTATTCAAACCCTAGCAAGGATGTAATGGCTGCAGACGGAGAACTCAAGAATATGAAAGGCAGGCCAAAGTTTCATAATAGTTTGGTAGCAAAACAGATGGGACAACTCGTTCCAGACTCCCTGAAAGCAAGTCTATTATTATGGTAAGGGCAGTTTTCAGGAGAACCTGAGGGATCCATCTCTCTCTATCCTATTAATTAATATTACTTCTGATAATGAGGAAGAGAAAAAGTGATATTTCCTTGAAAAAAAAAGTCCTTTAAATGCGGAGGAGAGGGTTGAGAAAGTATGGCGGACCGAAGAAATGATGAAGTCTTCTGCTCGATTAGGAAGTGACATTCCGCATTTTGTCTCGATGGTTGAAGCGGAAATTTTCCTCACCTCTCCACTGGCACTCATCGATCAGTTTTACCGACCTCAATCTCGGGCACGTCTTCCCCCAATATTTTATTCTTTCACAAGGGTCCATTGTGTCCAACATGCACTCCAACAATAGGATTCTTGTTCAGGAAATATGGGAATCACTCGTGATCGCGGATGGCTTTTGAGGAGAAGTCAAGATTTCGTACTGGAAATCGCAACCAAGAAAGCAGCTTGAACAGAGGATTTACTAAACTTTCTGCTTCTACGATCCTCGCAAAATAAATCTCCCCTTCACAAATTCCTAGAGTTAAAAAAATTTTCAAATTCGGTAGAAGGCCTAAATTGGTGATTTCCAAGTTGACCTTTCGTCGTGGATAGATATGTGGAGAGTCACTATCTTTCTCCGGCTGTGTGCACAGTGACTGCAAAATGCGAAGGCTTTCGATAGAGCGGCATTCGAGAAGCAGCCTCAGTTTGTGCCGAAAACGTTCCTCGCGTTTCCGTCATACCTCGGGGTCATTTCATCGATGAAAATGAGTTGAAAATTCGAACGAGTTTCCATTTCACGATTGTCCCAAGAGAAGGCATTTTCATTCTATAGAAACAATTAAATCATTGAAATGAGAAAATTGGTGAAGATCTGGCATATGCCTCACTATTACGCAACGAAGCGAGCCTGCGTTCTACCCATGTAATGAGAGACTGGCATTTCTGGTGATTATGGCCTAGTGCACTGTCTGCCATGAATATCACGAAATTTCCCATAACTCTCAGCTTAGTCAGAGGCCTCTCACTCTGTGGGGGAGCGGCAATTTAGACTGAATGCTACAATACTCTACCCATTGCGCAACCTTCTCTATCTGGAATATTTAACGTTCCATGGTTTAACACGGGATGCGGCGCGTGACAGGTGCCTCCATCCGGATAGCGTCAGGAAGTCCGCACCTAACTATGGGCTGGGTCGGTTTCGAATCTGGATCCATGTCTGAGCGCAAAACGGTTATCAACTAAACTCCACCGACTCCTTGAGCGACAGAAGGCTTCGCCGGAAACGAGACAGGTTACTCCCTCACGGTGACGTCATGATAGTTGTCTGCTAGCGTACATGGGATTCGCTGAAAGTAAGCGTGGACCTGCCTGCAGGTTTTTCCCTTTCTCGCATCTCCAGTCGCACTCGAGCCGCCTTCTCGGTAGCCGTGGCTGGTGTGTGGGTGCTGCCGGCCTCAGTTCCTCCGATAGTGCTAAGTTTATGTCCTCTACTCCCGTAGAATCGCGCTTGTTGAGTGCTATCACGGAACCGGGAGTTTAGAAGTTATTTATTTCAAAGGTTTTTAAATTTTATTTTATAATTTTTTTAAGCATCTCCCCAACGATTTGTTCAACATCGAAAGCCCATTGCTCTGTGTCGGTAGTTTTTATTTTCAAACTCTGACTTTTTGTAATCCTTGCTCACGGAATATATGTAAGGTGACCAAACGTCCCGATTTATGCGGGACGTTCCTCTTTCAGACACCCTGTCCCCGTGTCCCCTGATGAACAACGCAGTTCTAATTTGTATTTCAACAGTAATAAATATAATTGTCAGTGCAACAAATCCATAATCTTTTTTTTTAGAACGTAAGGGAAGTATTTACTGGGCATCCCGCTTTCGAGACGCAGAAATCTGGTCACTTTAAATGACAACTTGGTGTTGAGGCTTAGGCCTATACTATTTTGTGGAAACGAAAGCATACGAAACTAGCATGAAATGGAAGGGGGAGAACTGGGAACCATGGATTGCCTATGAGAAGAGTCACTCATCGCCCAAGGAGGGGAGGGGGGGAATGTTGCTCAAGCGCGTCCCTTCCGAGGGTCAATGCACATAAAGGCGATATTCGTGGCCTTCGTCATCACGAATGCGACGTTATCGCATCCAGTCCCCCCTCGCACTATTCTGCCCCTGGGGGTGTGCGTGCGTGTGTGCGTACCTGTATGCGGGCCATTTACGCAATACGTGGTTCCGTCCTCAACCGTGCTGGGATTTTTTCTTTTCCCTCCCTTCCCTCCTGTCGTTTTGTAACTTCACCTAGTCGACCCTCAATTTTACACCTCATGCCCCTCCAAAGTCATAGCGGGCATGAATACAGAGGTGAGCACAGCTCCAATTCCGGCTGGCCTTATCCCAGAGAATCGAATGGGAATCCACCATGGCTGTAATGGATGTAATGGAAGACAATGCTTGGTTGTCGCTTCGCGTACTGCCCTTTGAGACCTTGATATTCTGCTCTATCGATGAATAATACAAGGTTGGGTAGGTATGACTCAAGTGACGATACCGTGTAAGGATCGGGTTCCAGCACCCAGCGATGGAATGCATGATCACGAACCCTCCCCTCTTACTCACTCTTGATGATTTGCCAATGCTTTCTACCCCGTTTTCTCGGTAAAATCGAAGGAAGTCCGGGGCAGCAAAACCGGACGACCTTGTCATGAGCAAGATTTTTTTTTTGTACACCTGTTCTGGTCTGTCCTTATTTTTTTTCGTTCTGTGACGTCACGTGCTGTAAACCTCCTGGCCTCCTTTTCTCCGTTGCCTCTCTTTTCCTGGAAACACCCTCACGGAAGAGCGATCAAGAGGATACCATATTTCATTAAATGAAATGGAAGTCCAATTTGTAGTTCCCGTCGATATGCCGTGTCGATATCATCTCGGCATCTATGGTGTTGTGGCTAGGAGAGAAATTCTCAAAGTCATTACAATATATGACTTCCGACATTTCGCAATAACACTTACGAATAACCCTTCCTTGTATGTTTCGTTTTCCATGAGAAATGATCCAGCTAGAGACACATCCCCGAATGCCAGTCCTCCATTTACTTGGCACGTTAACGTCTTTGCCTTCTTTCATCCTATCGTTTAATTATTTTCTTTTTATTTATTTACTTTATGAAGGACACGGTAGGGGTAAACGTGCATAAACTGTGACACGTGCAGATATGCACATTCAGAATACGTTTATTTCAAGGAATTTAAAGGACTGTACGCTCCGAGGTGCTTCCACCAGAAAAGTACTTGTTCCATGGGATGAAATATTACGCCGTAATGGCATGGCGAAAGGGAGAGAAAGGGAAGAGAGACCTTGTACCTTCCTACCTTGGGTAGGAAGTGAATGAAGGAAAATCTATGCAATCTGCATTTCTCGGATGCAGATGTCCGACCTTGATCAAGGTGTGGTTTCACATCACAGTTGCAATTGAATTTTCATACTTCCAGGAATTGGAGTAGGAGGAAGAAAGAAGTGTATGTTACTCGCGTGGTGTCGTTGCATGACGTGTTCTCTGGTGCAAATCTGAAGGCCGTCGAATCTCACGCCTATCTCGTACGTTTTCTGTGAAAGGAGAGGAGGAAAACGGTGAAAGTTTATTGGGAGAACCTTCATTTACCTTGACTCCATTCGGCATACCTGAGTGTGCAAGATGGGTTCCACCATGGACGGATGCGGAAAATGCATGAAATATTCCCTCTTCGTGGCCAACTTCATCATTCTGGTGAGTAGTCACTGGTTCGTTTGTCTGAATCCCGCCAGAGAAATTTTTTTTTTCAACAGCCGTCGGAAATTGCCTCGGCCTTCGTACCAGTCTCCATTCCTTTTCCTCCCTAGCACAACCTTGGTAGATAGGTCTATATCTCATCACGGAAGAATAGATTGAATTTTCCTCTCTCTTACCCTTCAAGAACCTTGCTCTGCCAGGTGCTCTCGTCAGCCATGACTCGACAAGTTTGAGTGATGTGACAAAAAATTTATGGGTTTTCATGCTTTGCCGATTCGCTTGAGGTTCAAATCCTGGATCCTGAAAATTAAACTTTTTACTGTGTTGTTATAGCCATGGCAGATAGCACCTTACACCTATGGTGGTAAGGGTCATGGGTGAGTAGTTGTGTTTCAGCATCGGTTAATGTCTGTAGATTGGAGGGATCGCGGTGTTGGGAGTGGGAATCTGGACGGTGGTCGACAAGGCGACGTTGGAAGCTCTCCTCGACACCAATCTCTTCTTCAGCGCTGCCTACATTCAGATCGCAACTGGGATTGTCATCATCTTCCTCTCGTTTCTCGGATGCTGTGGAGCCATGAAGGAAGTCAAATGCATGCTCCTCACTGTAAGAAACTTCAGATTCTTTGCGATTACAGTGATGGTATTATACAGATAACATGGTTCATTTCAATATGCTTCTCTGACAGTATTCCATCCTCCTTTTCTTGCTCTTCATCGTCTTGCTCGTGGCCGGGATCTTGGGCTACGTTTTCCGTGACAAAGTCGAGGATTCCATTGATATGGCCATGAAAAAATCCCTTCATGAATATGATGACCGTTTACAAGACCCCGTCAGGCTTGCCTGGGATGATGCGCAGAAAAAGGTAGAGAACGTGGCTTTGCTTACATCAACGTTCCTGTGAATATGTATCCCATCATCTTGTCATTTCCTTTCTGAAGTTTGAGTGTTGTGGCGTCGATAGACCAGAAGACTGGCAGTCAAATACAAATCTTAAAGGCCGATACCCAAAAAGTTGCTGTCGGATCGACTCAGATGGAGATGTGAGTCTTCTTCAAAGTAAAAAATATTTACATGTGAAACTGAACAGAGCATTGTTGATGGACGATTTAATTTTGTTTTGTAGACATTGCATTGCGAATCGTCTGTGACCAACACGTGGAAGGTAGGATGCCGGCAGAAAGTAGAGATGTATCTCCGAGAACACGGTGCTGTTTTAGGAGGCATAGGGATCGGTATTGCTTTCCTAACGGTTAGTTAATCAACATTTTTCAATTTCCATTAACACGCTAGCAGATATAATGAACAGTGTTCCTTATTACTTCTTCCAGCTCTTGGGAATAATTTTCGGCTGTGCCCTATGCAAGACCATTGAGTGAACTTCGATGAATCTCGCCTCACCTGAGTGTTGTAATGAGTGATTGAGTGGAAATGTGTCTGCAGATGAACTTTTCATTCCCTTGCTGGGTGAAAACGGGTATCCCAAACATACAGCAATACCCAACTCAACGTGGGATCCAAGAAACCCCTGGATCTGTAGACCTGTATCCACCAAAGACCTGTCATCTTTCTACTTGTCCCTGGAACTCTTGGGATTTACTCTGCTTTCCTTGAGTGCCTTTTGATCATTTCTAGGAAATGGCTCAATAAGGCTACTTTTAATTATCAAAATAATCCTGGGCCTTGAAAATAAGTGACACTGTGATTGTTTTACTTTGGGAGTGTGCATTGGATCCTTTTAAAGGAAAAATGGTAAGGTATCCAGGGACATTTTGCATATTCACTGGCTACGTTTGAAATACGTTTTCAGATTTTAGATCCCATACTTGGGTAGTCAGAAAGACACCACCTTCTGTATGTTCCAAATATAGTCATATTCTTCTTCCTAGTTTTGCTAATTCTGATTAAAAAATTTTGCTACTTTCTTATCACTGTGACCCAATACTAATTGACTATCAGTACACTAGTAATTATGCATCGTTATGAGTCATGTTGTCAATTGCAAAATTCAGTATACCAGACTAAATCTCCAACTTCTCTTGGCCCTTTCAGTTGTAAACAGTCATATCTCTTGAGTTGTCACTTCTAGGCCATCAAGGTAAATTGAGTAGTCAGGAGAGTTTTCAGGGATCAAATTTAAACTCCCCTTATCTTTTTTATTTGTCACAATGTCTCCAGGTTTTTTTTTGTTGCTGTTTCTTGGATTTGAGAAATGTATGTTTCCTCTCTTGAATTGTTCTTGGCAGCCTGTTAGTCAAACGAGGTCGAACTTTTACTGTCAAGCACTCCACCTCAGAAGAAGGAAATGGGTTCTATTGCATTTAGATTATATGGTTGTCTATTTGCCCAGGAGTTAAAGGTTGTTTTTTTTAAAATGTAATTTGACTTCCATAGTGAAACTAGTATCTCTACTTTTGATCCTGATCAGATGTAATCTCAAGTGGCAATGCCTAGTACATGAACCAAGTGGAGTGGGCAAGGGGAGATTCTTGTGCTGGACCTTGTCTTACACCTTCATGATGTGACATGCATCTGAGATCATGAGATAACATTGAACTTGTTGGCATAAGCAAGCCAAGAATTGCCAGAACCAAAGGATGGCATGAACTGCATCCATCCATGAGAAAATTTTTCAGAATTGTTCTAAACTTTCAGTGAATAAAAGCAATGAGTACTGTCCATGGGTTTTGGATCAACTATGAGGAAAGCAGCTGTCATATGACATGAATACCGTATACTGAAAGGGGAAATAGTCCTCATTGAAATTGCAACTAAAATGTTGAAGAAAAAAGAGATGAACATGATGGAACTTCACTTGAGTACATAAAAAATATACTGAAGTATTGAAAGAGGTTCACAAAGTAGAGAACTATATCAACAATCAATAAAAGCCTGCAGTATGAGATGCATTTGCAAAGTTTTTAGAATTTTTTAGATATTCAACATGTTGACTGCCATGGCCTCTTTTTTGTACATTTCAAAACCCTCTCTTTGAGGCCAAACCTACAGGGTTGGCCAAGGAAAGTATGCCACTCAAAATGATGTTAAAAGCCATATTTCTTAACTGATTAACTTGAAAATTATTTGGAATGCTGGTTAATGTGTTCAAGAGCTTCTAAAATGGCATGTGCCTTTGATTATACATGCTTGAGTTATGGCAGATTTTTCCAAAATTTTTAAATTCTGAGTGAACACATGTGACTGCCATTGTAAGGCATTCCTTCACATTTGACTTTTGCTTAAAAAATCAGTTCCTGTGGATGGATCATTATGAACTTAATGGAACATTTTCATGTCTGTTTTATCAATTGAAAATTTAATGCATGTGCATGAAATATCAGCCATTTCCATGCAAATGTTATAAACTTTCCTGGTGCAGGAACATGAGCAATCCAAATAACTTCAAAAGCTTTACTTTTTTGGCCAACCCTGTAGTACATAGTAAGAAATTGGCCAAATTGAGATACTCTTCGTTATGTTACTGTCACCTATGTTACTTGCGTCAGTTTCCTTAGAACACCCAACAGTGTCCTAAAGAAACAGACAGCCTCCTTGTGGTTTATACACCTCTGAGGTCATTAGACTTGCCAAGGTCCTAAACTTTGAAGCATGTTTAGACATTACATTCTGTCACATGCTGAATTGTTAGTCAATGTCTTGATCTGCTAGACTCCCTAGAGGATGTATACTATCCTCACAAGAGACATTACCTGGTAAGATATATACCATATTTTTGCACATATTCTTGAAACACTACAAGGAGAGATTACCCATTATCTGCAATGCAATGAAATAAATATCCTTTTTAAAGTTCAAAACACTGTAATATTTCTACATTCATTCCTTGATTGTGATTTTGGTAATTACCAAAGTGTTTTCTAAAATGCTCAATTTGTAGCTTAGTTTTTTTATCAAAGGGATCTTGAAGTGCAAAGGGTACTTTTGTGAAGTTTGCAAGAGTCCCTTCTGAGTATTGTATCATTAATGCCATGTTCTGCAAAAAGCTGCACTTCCATAAGATTTTAATAGGCATTGTGTGACACTTGTGAATATAGCCTCTTTTCCTATTTACAGTAGACAGCCTTCTGAGGGCACAGCACAAGCACCTACACCCTCCTGCCAAACCAAAATATATATGAGCATACAGAAGTAAAAGCAGCATTTAGTCCACCTGTAGGACTAATGGTCCTGCAGGAAAAATGCTTTTAGCTCACTGGTGGGTCTAATGGTAGTCAACTTCTTAAGGGATACAGAAGTGAGAACCAAAGAATAAGCATTTTTCTCAGCATCTTCTTTCTCATCTCAAACCATCTTTGTGCAATTGGAAAAGAGATACACAGTATACATTTTTGCAATTTTTCATAATACCAATAACTTTATGTTTTTTAATAGCAGCCACCAAGTCCTCAAGCCTCATTAATTCTCTCACTTGTATAGGTTTTTCTCAAGTATCCAGCTCTTTTTCTTCCAAAATTCCATGTTGAAAGAGAGATATTTTATTTGTATCATATAACAAAGCCAGAAGACTCAATATAAATCATCTATGTCTTCTGCATTCATGTCCTGCAGTTTCAAGCACTGTTGCCTCCCACATAATTCAATGAACAGAGAAATGTCAGCCGTTTGCACAGGAAATCAGTCTGAGGAAGAGTGATATCATGTCCCAGTTCTCTGTTCTATTGTAGGTTCCTTTCCTACAACATCTTCCAATTGGTTAGGTTCACACTCAATGCTTGATTTGATTGTCCTGTGACTCTCTCTTTTGGACGATAGAGAGTCTTCACTTTTGAGAATTCTTGCTGTTATTATGTGTTCTCTGTCTTTGATTTCAGCAAACATGGCTGTAGATGTGGCATTCTCTTTTACATTAGTACTTCCTTCTTCACTTTCTCCTTCTGTCACCAAATTCTCTGAAGGTGAAGATAGTCTTTGCTTCTCATGCTGGACATCTCTTGCATCATAGATGCCTTTGTTTTCACGTCCAATCTCATACATTTTCTTGTAGAACCTGAAAAGTGATTGCTTGTTATCACCGTTGGACAAAATAGGAGACAAGGTACATTCATACAAAATCAAAATAAAAACATGGCATTGTTTGCTAGTCAGAACCAGAAGCAAATGGTTACACAGTTTTATGCTATAGAAGATTTAAAATCTCCCAATTTTTACATTTTGATTAAAACCTAACTATATTTTTTACATACATTTTACATTAAGCAAAAGGAAAGAAATAACATACTGTTCAGATTCTTCCTGCCATTTGTAATGCCAAAAGCGTCTTTCAGGCATATCTACACCAGTAGTCCGAACAATCAGGAAGTTTGCAAGTCCTCCAACAATTCCAAGAAGTCCACCTGTACAATGAAATGAAAATGACCTGTGACTTCCTAAACAGAAAAAGAGGGTACATTAGACTTGTAGACCAGGATAGATTGAGCTATAAGGTGATTATGTGACACCAGTAAGTGTTATGGAAATTAACAAGAGGCATTCAAAATGGCAACATAAAATGTCCATTAACCTGCAACTGCACCAGCAATCATCCCCTTTGGACCCATGCTGAATTTGAAGAGTCCTCCTGTGACAGTTCCAGCAGTGGCATATTCTAAAATTCCAGATTTATTCCGATACACAGCAATAGTGTTGGAAATGAGGGTGAAGGTGCCAACAAATACTCCCAATCGCCAGCCCCACCTCCAGCCTCCTTTAAGCATGGCCAGGTACATTTTATCTTGGAGTCTTCTCTTTGCTTCTAGGTGATCCATGAACTGAGTTGCCTTGTTCTGACGGACAAAGTTCTATTTTGCAGGGAAGAAACATGACTTGAAAAGTTATGGCAGTGTTGATAAATAACACTTCTAGAAATACATCATCCATACATTTAGGGCATTTCTTGAGTGAGTGACTGCACCTCCAACAGCTCCAATTAGAAAACCAAAGAGTAATCCCTGCCGTGGGAAGTCCAGTTCTGGGCTGACCTGCCCATAGGAATCCAAGGAAAACATTAACTTCAATCTGTCCCATCCCGTCTCCTTCTCTGGCTCCAATAGAGCTAAGAGGACAGAAAATGTTACATATAGCACAGATGTCCAATTGCCAATGATGACAGGCATTATCAGCAATAAGAAACTCACCCAGCATGCGCTGACGAGTTGGTGAATCGCTAACTTTATCAGCACTTCCTGCTCCATTTTGGAAGAAACTGAGACCTAACAGGGGAGTGCCACCAAGTGGCAATAATTGTGGCCTGATTTTTAACCAATAACACCACTGCATTTGAAAAGTCAGCAACAAGTCCTCATCTGAGACAAGAAAACTGTTGTCACACAGCAAATTTCAACTCCACTTGATCACAAACTAGAGAAGAGAACATTTTAGGTAATATAAACTTCAATGAGATACTGTAATCCATTATTACATTAAGGCCATCCAAGGAGAGAAAACTAAAACCGGTTATAACATCAATGAACCAGTGAAGGGGATCAAACTTTCTTGGCCATATCATCTGAGGAATCAATCTTGCTAAAGAAATGATAAGGGAGGTGGGCTGATTCATCCAGCCAAGAATCTTCATGGAGATTCCTCCTGTGCATTTCAAGTAACAGAGGCAAAGGTTTGCAGCCATAACATGAATTTGCAATGACACAGCAAACATACTTGCTGCTTGGGTGGTTCATAGCTACAGATTGCATCCTGGCAGCTTCATTAAAAGAAAGTACAATGAAGATGTATGTCAAAATGTATGTACTATATTTGCAAGTCAATGTAGATATTGACTTGCCAGCCAGTGCTCACTTAATGATATTGTTCTCAGCAAGATGTTGCTTTCAGACTCTATCTAGGTAATACATTTGAAATAAAACATGGATTGTGGAGAGACCTATTTTAGACCTAAATTATCCCATCAATGACAGGAACTCCCTTTTGTAAATTGTTGAGCCTGTCTGAGAAATTAACGAAGTTATCATTCTGAATTCTTTCCTCTGAGAGGAATTCCTATTACCCAAAATATTCTTCCTTTACTCATTAAAAATCAATCAATTGAGAACAGTGGTCTAGCAGAAAACACTCTGCAACATGAAACTATAAAGAAACCTAATTTGCACTCTCTCTGAAATGCATACTGCTACCTGAGCAATTTCCAGCCCAATGAACCTCCTTCAGGTCATCAATGACATGTCAAAATATTGTGGGATACAAAGAATAATGAGAATGAAGGAGGATTGAGAATGCTTGGAGAAAGAGAGGTTGGGGGCATGGGTTGGTACAAAGAATGACAGAACACTTAATTAGTATTTCTATTAAATAGTATTTAATAATTAAATAGTATTTCTTTATGTGAGGGTTCCAAAATGCAAAAATATTTTCTAACTTTTTTAGTGGAAAGGTGAAGTATGAAGCAACAGTATTCCAGTAAATGTTGAAAAAAAAAATCCCTTGTACTGATGCATACATCCAAGTGATTGCATATGGAGCCTCATTAATAGGCAACAGCCATTAAAACACTTGTTAAAATGGTAAGTCACTTCTTTCCTTCCACCATGATCACGTGATATCCAAATTTTGTCTTGATAGGAGGATCAGTATAAACTGGTTTGTCCACTGTAGAGGAAGGAAGTCCAAAGGCAGCATCTTGAAATTCTCCAACCATGGAACCTCTGCTCATCCACCCCAAATCACCCTAGGACAATATGATCCCAAAATTCTATTAGATGCATGATGATTAAAACAAAATTATATATAGCTTCATGCAATGAAAAATAGGGTAAGAAGTTCAACCTCTTAGCTGTCACCATAATAATTAACCTCTTAAGTGGATATGACGAATGTATCTGTCTTGGTGAACACACCTGGTGTCATATGAATGACAGAGGTATTTCTGATTCTTTCTCATATAGTACAAGACTGAATTAACCCTTCAAGCTGGTCAATTTAGAGAGAAAACATTCTCAGCGGCAGTAATATCTTTGCAGCTTTGCAGGACAGTGTAACTTCCTCTTCAGCAAATTTGATTTCAGTTCCTTCTGATGATATAAAAGAGATATTTATGCATCAAGTATACACACTGGCCAAACGAAAGAAGCCCCCAGCCAAGTACAGGATGTCCCATTTAACATTCCAGACTTTCACATTTAGTAAAATTTTGCCAATCCAAAATTTCTGAAAATTCACCGTATGTGGAGTATGTCTATAGGTTTTCTGCAGGAAATTCTCAATCAATTCTATGTAGTGATTCTTGAGATATGGCTAGAAAGGCAAAGTATGGCAATTTTCATGCCTTTCTTTGAACAGCAACTCAACTGCAGTACCAGCTTCCAAAATCGCCATGCAGAAGTTGGCATAAGAAAATGCAGTATCCCTTGTACATAATGCTCTGTCATCCACAATGTATTTCTGAACTTGCAATGTCTCATTTCACAACTCATCAAAATAATGAAAACTGTGTCCCAGTTCAAGCAATTCAACATTATCATCCAAGTTCAGTGCTAATTCCAGCAAGAATTCTATGGATGAAGTGCATTGAAAACCATGGAAGCTTTGTCAAAGTCACAGTGATTAATGAGCAAGACAATGAATAAATTATTCAATAGTGATTATAATGCTTTTCCCTTACATGCCCTGATAGTTCAATTCGGGAAACGTACTTCCTGCCTTTTAGAACTGTGCATAATCCCTTGACTCTGCCTTTCCTAGGATAATCAGGAATGCAATACGAAAATATAATCAGAATCTCAGTTTTTCTCATAGCTTCCAGTTGAAGAGAATTGTTCACAGTTTCCTATTAGGGTTATGAAAATTCTGTCATATCTCACATCTCATAAGTTCTAAATTGATTTTCTAAATGAATTGCAATCAAGACAAAATCTCAATGCCATTTTGATGATGAAATTGAGCATTGAGGGCATCATTTCCTTCAATTTATTTCCCAAGTACTATTTAACTACCTAAAATATTTATATTTATTTAGCATTCAATCAAGAACAGATTTTACCTTTTTTTTTTTTAACCCAGTAGCAGCTATTTTCATCTTCAATAAATTTGGTAACTGAATTCTCATTTGCTAGCTGCAATCCATTTCATATCATTTTTTTATTCATTATCTGACAAAAAATACAAGGTGTGGAGAAATAAATGAGATCATATTAGGAAATCCTTCATGGCTACAGTTATAGATGTTCTAGAATATATGTATCTATGTCTTCTTGTCTTCCATCTTATCTAAGGTAAACAGAGTGGTATTGAAGGGTGTTCGCTGGGCAAAAAATGTGCAATGGCTTCATTCAAAGTGTGAATCTTCAATTTTAACCACAGCACAATGCTGCTGTCCAGGCAAAAGCACACCCCATCGCCCATCCACTTCACTGAGTTTCCTTGGGACCACTAAGATTCAAAATGTTTTACTTGCAAACATGAAGTGCTTCTATGGCAAAACCAGCACATGGAAAATTCTGAAAAATTTACATTCGAGGCAAAATGTAGATGCATACCTGTTGTAACACACCCAGCTGTACCTTTGACTGATTTTCAGACATAAATATGTTGATAGCTGTGCTTGTTTTCTCTGCACTAAGCATTCCTGTAGGTAGACTCCATGAAAATCGTTGTAAGTTTGTGCCTTGGTTCTCTTCTCAGAGGGAATGGAAGATTCTAAATCAGGGTCAATAGAGGGGTGTGTACATAAAAGTTAGAGAATATCTGCCATAGATCTCTTCTTCTCTTCATTGATGGTAGGGGGCAGTAAAAATACATGGTCCATGCTGTTGAATGAGAATACCTGGCACATAGCCAGCACTATAAGCCAAGCTATATTTACATCCTTGGTATATATATATATAACACATGGGCTTTCTCATGCATCACATAGGTGTTGAAAAAAATAAAAAAAAAGCACAAAGTCACTTACACCTTGTCTTGCTTTATCTTCACTATAATTTGTGGCCACTTCATTAAACTTGGCTCCTGCTTTCAGCTTCTCAATGGCTTCCAGTGCTTTGCTTTGTTTCTCACAAAGGATGTGCCTCACCTGAAATATTCATTCAAGTTTACCCAAGCTAATGTAATCAAATAAAATAATTGCATTCTTAGCCAAGCATAATCTAGGCCTAATACTTATTAATCAGAGAACCATGTTAATGAGTAGCCCAATTGGGTATTGCATGACTTAAGCCACACATTCTTGGGTTTAAACATTTTCTTTAACATTAACTCAACAGTTGAGAAGGAAAGGTTATTCATTGCTAATGGATAGCAGTTCATAGCTAATGGATAGTCCTGGTATGGTTGACAAAGTCACTAATTAGGGTGGAATATGCCAATTTTTAAATGGACAGTAGAAATTGGGGAGTTGGCAGAGCTAGTTAGTTTCAGGTCTAGAAAAACACCAAAAAGATCTTGAGAACATCAGTCTGAGCCTTCCCATCTCAAAACACAGGAAGTAGGCAGTGTAGTGCAAGACTATGGCACCACAACTGGTTCCTTCTATCAGTACAGCCACAACCAGACCAGGAAGGCAGCCTAGTAGTGACATATTTTACGGGGGGAGGGGGGCTGCCACTCCCCTTGGATGCTCCTGGGATAGAGCTTAGATGTGATATTTTCTCCCAATATTGTTTGGGTGGGGTTTTGCACCCCCATTCTGCTGCCCTGCCCTCCCTCTGACCTTACAGCCAAAATATGCCACTGCAGCCTAGAGATCACAGGACAATTGGTTGGAACTGGGCATTTTGGGACTAAAGTGAATTCAGTGGCTAATAGAGTGATGGATATGTGGGATGGTTGCTTTTGTATTTCATCTCATTCTCCACTTGGAGTTCGCTACAGATAATTTGCCTTAGCCTCATTGCTTTTTTAATCCTACCTTTACGGCTGTCCCTCCTTTCTTCTCTTTTCCTTTGCCGCCGCCAGCATGGTCATCGGCAGATGCCTCCTTTCCTTTTCCCTGGCTCTTCTTCGGACCCATTCCAGAAATTTGGTTTCGACCTTAAATTTTTTAAACCACGCCCACCGGGACACTAGCTTTATGTCTATGAACGGAACTTATCGACGTTTGACGGGACTAGTAACCCCGAGACTGAACACGTGCCGCTCGTGCACGATAGCAGGCAGCCATGAAAAACTGACATGGTGCTGATCATCGTGAACCGCGTGTGTAGAAGGGCATCGCAGGTGTCCTCATTGATCCTCTCTCTTCTGCAAATCATGTCTGGTTTTCTCTTCATTTCATTATCCATTACCCGCTGTTACGGCTATCTCTAGGTCTATTTTGAATCCATAAAAGTGAACAAGGTTTGCCCGACGCATTTTGTCACAATCTCTCCCACTCGTTATTATCCTTTTCATTTATTCGTCTAAATATATGACAATTTAGAAAGCCCTGGACAAAATCTTTCGAATGAGTCTTTTTTTTTGCTGAAAAGTCGCTCAACCGGACGAAGTTGCATTTTCCCGAAGCTCGAACTCTGTTTTAAAAAGTCTTGGGAACAGGTTATCAAATACACGAGTCTAATGCGCGGTCAATTCTAAATCAAGCTCACAGGCCTCCCATCGAGCTCTCAAGCTCCCAAAGCTAATTGGAATCAAATTTTGTCAGAATCGATTGTTTCTACTATTCGCTGTTTAATGTGCTTGTGACTGGAATGGAAGCCAGCATTCTGTTGAGTCTTTCAAGAATTGAAGGAGATTTTCTCAGGATGTCTGTGCTATATATAATGACTTTAGCATTTTAGGGGACCTGCTGGATGAAGAATAAATACTTGATTTGAAGACACTTGAAAAAAGAGGGATTGGACTTCAGACAAATGCCTATGGGTGAATTGCATGAAACTAATGCCAGCATTAGCCTAAAGCTGTATTAGCTAAAGGAGCTTTGAAGTGAGGCATTGCACAGAGAAATTTAAAGGTACATTAGCTAACTGAATTAGTGCTTCCTAATGAGCATTAGCAACTCTGATGATGTATATCAGGGACCCACAAGAATGTTGTTTACTTCAGCAATGCTCGAAAATGGATTTTTTCTCTTTAATCAATACCCAAAAAGTACAAGTGTGTGTCAAAAAGTAACAGGACATCTGTGATCCTAATGTAGGATATATAAGTAGCAACACACATAGTACTGCTTGTTAGAATATCAGCACGTGAAAATAGTGGTCTTTGGCTTTGCTCTCGTCTTGTGTGCCTCCTACAGTTACGAAAAATGGTGACTATGGGTCTTGATTGCACCAAGGAAGAGTCATGTTTTGTGATCCGTTTTTTTAAATCAAAGATGACATGAATGGCAATTCAATTTTTCACTGACTCAAAGCAGTTTATGAAAACTGTATTGAAAGAAGCAAAGTTTATGAGTTGGTGCAAAAGTTCCAAAGTGGAATAGTGTTGCAGACATGGTACATTCATGCCAACAACACTAGTCAAATGATGTGACACGCAGTGGAGGTGTCAATATCAAGTCTATTAGAGATCATGACTTTAAAGGACCTGTGCCCATAGAACCAAAGAGCGCAGCAGATCTGCAGCATTGGTGGTATTGCATAGTTCCTCTATGTTTTGTGCTCTACGGGGTGTTTAGAAAGTCACTCCCTATTTTAAAATTGTGATAACATTTGTCAATTTTTGACTGAAAGTATGGTCCTCCATCATGGTCTTGAGGTGGTGATGAAAGGAGAATACCTTGGATGCAACTTCCCATTTTATCCACCTCCACCCCTCATTCTGTGCTGCTACTTGCATACAGTGTTTAAGATTCAGGGTGACATGCACCAGATTCCTTTAACTTTAAACTGATTTGTTTTTATAAATGGGCATCTATGGGAATGTTTATCTCTGTTAAACCCCATAAGGGACCATTGTGAGATCAGATCAGTTTAGTTTAAATGGATTCGGTAAATGTCGCCCTCAATGTTGGCAGCATGGAGGGTTACTGCAAACAAATAAATCAATAAAATTATAAAATCCAACTGAATTCTCTTTCTTTCCATGCAAAAAGCATTGTTCTAGTCCAAAAATTACAAACGTTATTACCTTGTACAATTAAGAAAAAGGAATGACTTTCCAAAAACCATGTAGATCAGGTTAAAAAATTGTCCACCATAAGGAGGATGCCCTGAGGTATGAACCAGCACCTTTGCAATACTTCTTCAGGAGAGTACTGCTCCAAGTCGATCATGGAACACACGCTCCTGGGTGTCAAGTGCTTCAGTTGAGTTCGGGCAACCATAGACTGAATTCACTGTTTATTCACTCTGCTTTCTTTGCAGCCATGTAAAACACTCAGGAAATAAATAAATGAATATTAAAATCATCGTCCTTGGACATCCATGAAGCAGTAAGGAAGTGTGTCAAGCCAGCGAGATGTTCCACTTCGGTGCTAATGGAGGTTTAAAGTAGGGTCAACTTAGCATTAAACTAATACGTAATTTAATGCCATGTTAAGCTAATTTCTTTTCATGCAATCCACCCTACCCCTTTGTCTATATGAGAGATTTTTAATCAAAAGTAGGCTCACTCAAAAGATCTTGTCCAGGGCTTTCCAAAAACATACCATATGCACAGTTTGCTCCACTGGGTGCAAATATGCAACCTTTAGAGAAAAAAAAAACTGGAACACCTTGTACAAGCCACCCTCTTGATCAGAGTGGTCAGAGAAGCAAACTATTTACTAGTGATTTTCTGAAAACTGCAAATGGCCAGAGTTTTGGTGCAATTTCTCAATCTGCTAGGTACTCATTTATCCTATCATCCTGTGTGGTTCATATATGTTTTGCATGCTGGAACAGGTCCAGCACAGTACCTGATGCATGAGTGGTCAAAATGGCATATGCTGATGCTTCTTTGAAAAATTCTGGAAGTGATGTAATCCTGAGATGCGCTCACAGATAACTACCTCATGGCTATAATGCCCTGGTCCATGAGGAACTCTTAACTTCCAATCTCTGTCTTAAAGTGATAGTAGTCTTCAAATATGCTGAGAATGCTCAACTTTTTTTTAATTATATCAACCTTTTGTCATTTGTGCCTGGGATCTCCCTGGGGTCTTGTCCTCTCATGATCAGAAAGATTATGTTCATGTACTATTGAACTATCAACTAGTACAACAATGCATGGTTGTGCGAATTGGATTAGTCTAAGTGAAAACCATATGATGTCAAAAAGTAGGTAGTCAAGTGTAAGGTTTTGTAAGAGAGTTTTTATATAGTAGCATTTTCAGCCTAAAACAGTGGAGAACCTAAAGGATACAGGAGGGACTTTCTCTAAGCTGGAATACCATGGGCTGCTAATGGGGTTAAGCTGAGGAATATGAAACCTGCTTGGAAAAATATATATATATCTTAGAATTGTATTGAAAATGTAAATGTTGCTTTTTCAGTTTTGAAGTGGATAACTGCTTTAATAAATTCTACAAATCCCCAAAGAGCACAATGCGTTGGGGGAAAAAAGTCACTCTGTCTCGACATTATGAAGAGATTTGTGGATTTAATCAAACTGCCAATCCCATTTAACATTGCAGGAGTAATTTCAATGTGTTTCCTGGTAAATTTTGATTTTCAAGCAGACTTTTTGCTTTGCTTTCAAATCTGTTTCTCTAGGTTAAATCCATTAGCAAAATAGGACATAGTGACTTGTGAAAATTTACTTTTATGTTCTTAAGGTGCTGCACTGTTTCAAACTGAGACAACTTTTGTTATAAAAATGAATTTGCAAAACCTTTCCTTGATTACATGACATTACATGATTCCTACCTAGCAAATCTGACTAGCATAGCAATTCAATAAATTGATCTTTATGGCAATGGATAGACAGGACCCTAGGGAAAGGGTGCTGGTGAGAGAGGTCTGAATTTTATATAATTTTAATGTTAATACCCTCTGCACAAGGAACACATAACATGATGAGCTCTAAAAAAAACTGCAGTATCCCTGCTTTATTGTAGATTGATGAAATTCTACCTTATAATGTCATAATTTATAATGTCTCTGTGATATCTTTTAAGAACAATATTGCAGAAGTCTCCCTATATTACTAGCCCCAATTATAACAAGTGTGGTATGTTAGGATTTAGACTCCTGCCCTAGGGGATTGAAACCAACATGGTGCTAATTTTGGCTTTAGCTTCTATATCCCATCATTGTGAAGTCTGTGAAATTCCTATCGCCAGCGTAGGTGTAGTTGATGAAGTCAAGACTAGACAACTCCTAACAGGTTCCTGTCAGCAATCAAAGCTTTGGCTGAACATCAGGTAGTTTCCCCAGCTGTTCTACCCTATTTACTCTAAGCATATAAGCTTCTCATAGTCCAAACCTAGACCTAGGCCAAACACACTTGAATAGAGAAAAAAGAAACTGTGAATATAATCTCAGCTTAGTTTTGGTTAGTAAGCAGACCTCATTCTATTGCCTCAGATTTCTACATGTTTCTAATAATAATAATAATAACTTTCTACAATTTGGTGCAGGTATACTACCATGACTGGGGATGACATGTGGCACATAGGTGACCTGGAGAATTAAGTCCATTCCAATGAATGTGCTCTTGTTCATCTTCTTTTTCTTGTGTTTTCAGTTTCTGCTTTTCTTAGTAGCCACAGTAAGTCATACTTCATTTGCCTCCTTGACTGCCATGTTATATTACCTGCAAGGCATATTTAAGTTGTTTCTGATATTGATTTTTCAGAAGACTCAATCAGGATCATCCTGGACCTCAAGGAACAATATCAACATACATGCATTTGGCATCTCCTGGCAGACCACAAAATTTCAAGGTTTCTTTGAAGCACTTACAAATGAGGTCAACACCAGAAGATTTTTACTCCACTGGTTTCGTCTTGGGACCCTTCTCACTGCTTTTCTCATCCCATGTGCTCTCTATTTTCTTCTGAGTACTCTGTATTACCATATAAAAAGCCATGAAGATCATGCAGGAGGACTAATTTTTGAGCCTGTGGTAAGTTTTATATACCTGATAGTTTTATGTTGTCACTATGAGGCCTCTGGATTGATCTCCTAGAAGCCTGGTCAATAATTAGATACTTAGGTATTAGTATGAGGATAGGCCATTTGTGACATGAATATTAATGGTTAAACTCTTACTTACCTTGACTCAAATTATGGGAGGTATTGGTTGGTAGGCCTACTGGTACTACCAAAATTTGTATATGTTCCTGTTAGTTACTGAGCATGGGCCTACACTATTTTCATATTGAATTTCATACCCTTACTTGGTAGTGCTGAACGAAAGGCACTATTTCCAAAGGATCAGATAACTCATGAAGGATAGGACAGGATAGGAAGGATATGTCCTTGCCTGCAATCAGTAAACTGTACAGTAGGGCTGGTCATACTTTGAATTCTGCACTTTTACTAGATAATTCTGAATCCATCTATAGCAATAGCACTTCCTGTATATGATTGTTAGAGTCAGCTGAAAGGGTGTTGATATAATTAAGTGGAAACCTTTAGTAGATTTAGCTTGAGATATTGATAAATGTTCAAATTCCCTTGGTCTCTTAGTCTCCACATTTATCACATACTTAGATGTTATGGCTAAATTTTTTATGTTGCAGATCCCGGGAGTAACAGCACCATGGCATTCTGTGATCTATTTTGCACCTATTCTCTTGCTGGGCAGTTTTGTACATGAGCTTGGTCATGCTTTGGCTGCATCTGTGTGAGTTGATGGCAGTCATTTTCCAGAATTATATGGTCATAACAGTGTTGATAAATCTAGAATGACCTGAAAAATCCTTTAGATTAAATTATAAGAGAATTAGCAATGGCACTTGCTTCCTTCATTGCTAATCTGCCTGAAATTATGTCATCAACCATAACTTGATCTGAAACTGATACTTTTTATTCATTTGTTGTCATGAGTGTATATTACTGTGAACATCTTATGCCTGGTAAAGGGAAGGGATTTCAGTGGAGAAAGTGGGGATAGTGACCATACTCTTCCTGCCTGCAACATGGGTTCAACTCTCCCCCTTGCATATGCAGAGTTTGTACCCTTGGAAAAGGTTACGGATCCTTTGTGCTGGTGTCCTTCACAATGTAGCATTGTCCTTTGTGGCCTTGCTATTCTACCTCACTCTTCCTCATGTGATGCTCCCTTTCTATTCCTCCCATGAAGTGGCAACAGTGGTCCACATTAAAGAGGTGAGGTGTACTTATGCATTTTCCCCATTCAGGCAGCTTGGTTGTCTTGATTTCCCTTGCAAAGTTAGTACAGTTCATATATTCCATTAAGGTAACATAAATTTCTCATCAAGTTTTTCATCATCTCTTCTCAAATCAGTGGAAATAAATATATATGTGTATTTCATGGAGATGTCCTCCCAAATGTTTGTGTATTTTACCTTTTTTTCAGCCAACATTTTACATATAAGACAGAATACCATGTCTGTATATATTTGAAAACAATCAATTGAAAATGAGGAGGGAAAAACTGTATTCTATGGTGTATCCCCTTGAATTGGATATAAAAGACCATGATGCTGAAATTAAGAGCAAGACAGTGGTATGGTAGATAATGAATGAATGAATAATGGTTATCTTCATGAAGGTGAATGAAAACAGTGACTTGGTACCTCCTAATTTCATGTTGCTCAGAAAGTTGAAGTTGGGTTATGTGTCAGTTTAAAATGTATGTTCCATTGTGATCAGGGATTGGTGGCTGACATGACCTCAAAAAATGAAATTTAATGTAGCCAGTTGCCAAATGAACCACCCATGAGCTGACATCTTTTCTTAGAGAAAAGGGTCTCTTCAAACCCTAAAATAGCATGGAGCATCCAACAGTGCTGCAAGGTTTTAATCTCTGAAGAACCCCAAAGTGTGCAAGTTATTCACATTAAATTAATGTTAATGCATTGTTAAATGTGTAAAATCACAATATGCTGTTTTGCAAATCATTTCACATCCCTAGATGGCAATACAATTATGCTGCTTGAATTATCACCAGCATGACATGCCTTGAAATTAAGGAAAATTGTGTCATTTTCTGGTCACAGTTCTGGTCAGGTGGGAAAGAAACCAGAGAGTTACGTCAGATCTAACAGAGAGCCACCCTCTGAGATAATAATCCAATGGTGTTTTGATAATTTATTATCAATAATAGTGTGATAAAAAAAAAACAACTTAATTATATAATCTCTTGATTATTATCTCAGGGACCTTTATGGTTGATTCACAAAAACACTCACTATTTATCGCTGCTGACTGAAATTATGTAAACAACATGGCACCCTGTGCCTTCTCTCTATTAGATTCCATGCTGACACTTTCACAAGCACTGCAACTCTACTATCATATAGGGACTGAAGAAGGAATTGACTTATAAATTATAAGCAAAATAGTAATGGAAACTGTAGACATCAATTGATTTTTATTCACTGTTTCACTAGGAAAAAAAGATTCAGACTTATAATGTCAGACTTTTTCCAGTGGAGACATTCCTGAGGATGACTTGAGATTAGATAAACTTGAAGGGCAGAGTTTAAACTAGCATGGTCGTTCAACTGGATGCTGATGAATAAGGTTACCTCTTGAAGTCTTTCAAGAACTGAGAATGGTGAAAATTAGATGAACTGACCAGAGGTGGTGGAGCATAATTGAGGAGTTCTCTGGAAAAGGGGCATATGTGCCCATACACCCTTTTTCCATATCCGTGTCCATGTGTTGCTTTAGATGACTTGTCATTGAATCGGGTGGTCAGAAAGGAGTTAAGATGTGTATTCAGCAAAGGAGAAGCAGGTTTTCCTATGCTCTCACTGTATAGCAGGCCAACTGCATGGCAATTTCAATATGGCTGACTCCATGAATATTCCATTAGCACTTGCATGATGAATGATTTTGGTGAAATTATTTCGTTCTTTTAAACTGAAAGTGAAAATGAGGAAGAAACCAGACATGAGGAAAGGGAAAGAAAGAGGCCCAGGAATCAACTTCTGGAAGGATATGAGAAGTTAGAGATATCCATGAAATAGTTGTAGATTCAGATGAATACATTCATACTGGATCACTGTTGATTAATTGGTAAATGAAACATGTCCTGAATATTTACATTTTCCTTGCTATTCTTTAAGAAAGAGTTTATTTGAAATTTGTAGATTCATTTATTGATTAATTATTATTTTTAACCGGAAAGAAGTGGTGAAAGACTCTTTGGAAAAAGGGGGTATGTGCATAAACACTTTCTGCCTACATCCCAGCAATGTGAGATAAAGAAATTCATTAAAACCCCAAGTTCATTTAGAAAAATGTATGAGATTCCATTTTACTGGTTTTAAGTTTTTGACCAGCTTCAGATTAGCTATGGGAAGTTTTTTTCATTTATCTTGAATTGCATCTTTTGCACATACGCTTTTTTTCTGGAGAATTCCTCAATTGAATTTGAACTGAAGTAATGTACTTTTCAGGGGTCTGTATTGAGCGGGGAGAAAGGACTCCAACCAGGAGACATTCTTCTAGGAGTGAACAACTGTACCCTCACACCAGATGCACTCAAGTTTCAGGCATGCTTGGAATTGCCCATGGGTTTCTGTCTCACTAATTCCCATGTTGCTGATTGGGATGAAGCCATAGACTCTCACAAATGTAGGGCAACATATCATCTCTCTTTACATCCAGTTTTCTTTCAACAGAGAAAAAAAGTTATGGGAGACTTTTGATTGTACTATTTCAGATGATGTTGTCATCCATGAGGGAGACTGGCTCAAGTGTTGTAGAAAGGAAGTATATCATACTCATCTTTGCTTTGAGTACAAGCCAAAGAAGGAACAGATGGTCCTTGAGACTGTGCCATATGCTTGCCTACCAATTCGTAAAGTTGTTGCATCATCATCTGGTTTCTGCAGTGACTCCTCTGACTGCTCAGAGGGCTCTTTTTGTTTTCATTCTGCTGAAAATGATTCTTTATTTGTCCTTTGGATGAATCAGAGCCATTCCTGGAATGTGCTATTCCTTGGCTCCAAAGATGGTCTTCTGAGCTCATTTACTATTCGCTGGGAACAGATTTACATCCCTCTCTATTCAGTCATACCAAGTGCCATTCCAGATGTCCTTGGAAAGGTCTTTTACTATGTGTGTTCCATTTCCTGTGCCTTAGCATTACTGAATGCATTCCCATGTTTTTGGTTCGATGGCCAGCATATCCTGTCTACTGCCTGTGATATTGTTTTCTCCGGTATTCACCTGGAGAAAAGGCTTCGGATTAGCCGAGCCATCACTGTTGGAGCCACTGCTTTTCTTATTCTCTCCCTGGTTAGTACCTTGATCTCATGAGGCACTGAAGACCTTCCACATACACCCTCCCTTACCATATTGGATTTTTCAATGAAGGTGAATGCTGTAGGGTTTAATCATGTTTTGACTTGCCATGAGTAGAACTAGATATAATTTTTTCAGAAGATGTCACACATTTTGCTCTTTCTACCCTATGACTGACAGCAATGCCTGCAGAATCAATTTTTTTTATTTATCTCCTGTTACTGTTACTTAAGATCCTTTCTGATTCAAAGTGTGTTATTGATACATTTTCATAGATTGAACACCAAAGAAGTCCTATAATATATTGAAAATGAATTTCATTGAGTTGCATTCTTCTTTTTTTCCCGTTGATGAGGTGTCCCTTTCTCTCTCCTTTTGAAATATTGGAGAGTGGAAAGATATTTCAACTGAAGTTACTAGTGATGAAAAGGAGGTATGTATCTGAACCTATCATAAATCTGGTGATGAATTAATGAAAGCTGTCTTGATTCTTTGTTAATTTGAATTCAGTTATGATAAATCCTGGATTTCAACTCACTCTTATGGATCAGGTATGTACAACACCAAAATGGAATATTTTTCACTTATACAAGGGTAGATCAGAATGTAAGGTTACAATACTTGCTGCAGCCAGTTGACTTTTTGTAACCTTACTTTCTGATCAACCCTTGTAAATGTGCTGCAATCTGTTTCATGATTCTGCTTTCTGTTTTATGCAGAAAAATGTCTCCACAGATTTCTTCTGTATGCATGTAGAGCAGGGCTTCACAATTGGTGTGTCACGACTAAGTCCCTGATGTGCTATGGTATTTTTGGAATTATATTAAAAAAGAACATCACTGTGCTTTATTAATGAAACACAGTGATGTTCTTTTATCCAGTCAATTCAACCAACGTTCATCAGTCAAATTGACTAGTGGGTGATGAAAATATTATGCACATTGACAAAGGGAAATTTGGATTGGTATACCGCAAGGATTGAGTAAACTCAAAAGTGTGCCATGAAATAAAAAAGGCTGAGAAGCACTGGTGTAGAGGATAGATCACTATGCTTTGAATTTTGACATTAGCAATGAAGATTGGGTGGAGTTCTTTCAGAATATCGAGATCATCCAGTGGAGTAAACCTTTGGAGACTCTCAGTTGCAAATGAGAGTTACCTCTGCATTTCCTGCTGCATGTATCAACACGTTTCTTCCAATACTTTCTGGAGGAGCTCCTTCAACCTGAGGCTTGGCTGTCTGCAACCCAGGATTCAATCCCAGTCGTAATTGGCTGCACAACTATTTCTGCGTGGCACTTGGCATCATTGCATTCAATCACGGAAGTAATGAGATTACCCCTTTGGGGGCATCCAGGAAACAAAAAGGACTAAAAAAAATAAGTCACTGGGGTAAGGGAAATGAAAAAAGTCTCCGTATGGCTGACCCTGCCCATGAAGCAAACCTCTGCATTACTTTCCTGATCTCCCATCTTGGTAGTGCTGTATGGTGAAGCAGGTAATCCCCTAAAAATTGGAAATACAGAGCTTATCAGAATAGACTCCTCAAATTTGGTTGATCATAATTCTAGAACTAAAAATGATAGAAACGTAAAACAAGCTTTAGCACATTCCTCTGACTATTCCTTACTGCAGAAATAATTTCAGGATGAAATCATTTTCGAAAGCCTTCAAACTGTTCACCTGGTTCCTCGAGACATTCTTGATTGTGCTTGAGAGCATCACTGAATGTGCGATGAAGCACTTCCATAGGTATTGTCTCAAATTTTACCTTCAATGTGTGCCCATATTTACTCCATGCTTCTGGATTTAGTTGTGTTGACAACATTATTTATCGACCAATACTTGACTTACCGATCAATACTCGGCCCCAATCAACTCTGTTGTTGGGATCATGGAGGCCATTCAGCTGATCCTGACTTTACTCTTGCTAAGTATTGGATCTGAGAATATTTGAAGCAGGAATGTTACTATTTTCTAGGTCTTGCCTTTGGATGCTCCAGGAGTGGTGCAAGCCATTCCTCGTCCTATTCACCATTGTTGACCGTTTTTCAAAGAACGCATTCAACGGTGTCCGTTCACAGTTTTCGTCTCAGCAGTCGTCCTGGTCTTTTTACCAACAGATGGGAGAGACTTTTGAAATGTGTCCTCCATCACTTTCGTGAAGCAAGTCTGAGATTGGTTAATGTCTTCCAAACTCTGTCCCCATGTCGGAAACTTATTTTCTGAATTCAGGTCGATTTTCTAAATCCTAGGTCGCACATTGTTGCAGATACAGAAAACGACGTTCTATGGGCAACTGGCATAATTTTTTACTTAGTGGAAATCCTTCTAAGATATGGTAAAATGATTAGTTGAGTACAGTGGAAAGTCGAGATTTTTATTTATTTAAAGGATATATGTCCAATGTGCAAAAATAAAATCTCAATTTTATCACCTCACGGCTGTACCTTCCAAGAGCAGGATGGAGAAGCTGGTCGGGAAATTCCTGGCTGGAAACTGGTTCCCTGCAAAACCTGTCTGAAGCAGGTCGACCTTCTCTGGAAGGTATCGTGAGATAATGGAGGTTGTCGTCCAGACTTTGAGTTGCGCAACCTTAAATATACTTACCGAACCAGCCTTCTCACCATTTCTTCAATTTTTCTCTTTCTAGCTCATTGTGTTTCAATTCCAAATTGCATGTAAATTACGAGGGATTATCAACCAATGGTAATTTTCTTATAGCAGCTCGCGATTGAACTTTGGGATTCCCTTGTAAGCCCACTTTTTGCTGGGGGATTCGTTGAACTGCCCTTTTCAGGGAGCCTGTGTTCCTCTAACATCGTGTATTTTAACGTTGCTTCACTCCAGCAATTCTCTTCCTTCATAACATCTTCAACCTATCCTTTTACTTTCCTAGTCCTCAAAGAGAAAAGGTTTTCCTCCAATGAGGGTTAGGTGGCTCTCCGATAGAAGCAAGCAAGCGAATTCATAAATGGTTTCTGTGAATAACATTTTCCAGGCAAGCTTTTCAAATTTTGAGTATTTTTCTCCAAAAGGCATTAGTTTGCCATTATCTAAATAAAATTTCCATCTCAAGTTCGAATTTCGCCTTTCCAATTATTGCCAAGGCCCATCTGAAGAAGTTATGCTCTTAACCCTTTCAGAACTAGATTAAGGCCACTATCGAAATAGTATACTTTTTTTAATTTTCGAGCTCTCTTCCAATTCTTCTTTAAATTTTTATGTTCTATATATCGTTTTTATATTTTGTATAAATTTACCTTATCATGCCATATATATTATAAATGTAATTACATAACTGAAGATTACAAAACTGACGGGTGAGAGAAGGCCTCCGACGGTATTGAGCCATGCATAATTGAGTCCATTGTAGTGTAATACTTGTAATACCATCGTAGTGCAAAGTCACGAAAATCCCGAGAAATTACCATAGAAACAATGAAAATGCAATGTCCATTGGAATGGACGCGGGGTCTGAAAGGGTTAAGCCGATTCACTTTGAAGGCCTTTGCGAAGGTTTTCATTTCAATTTGCAAGACACTTTCCGTTTGCATACATCGTCGGCTTCTTTATATTTATTTTAACTTTCTTTGCAAACGAATTTGTAACGGAATTAACGCACTTCCTTGAAGATATCTGTTTTTTAGATGCCGAAAAAAATATATCAGGTTGTAAAGGTGAAATTTAGACATTTTCCAGAAAACAATTTATTGACAATTAACTCAACAACGACTAGAGTGCAGTCTTGCGTCAATGTATCTTTTGTAGGTTCACGATAAGCACTCACCCCCACAATGCCCACTGGTCACTCTACTTATACACCTACATAGAAAGTTCTAACATTTTCCAGATTTTTCTAGAAAAGATCGAAATGTCTAAATTTCACATTTACAACCTGATATATACGGTAGAGGCACCAGTTCGTGGACGGGCGCCTATTTGTGGACGATTTCGCGTTTTCTGCCATCCAAAATAATATACACGGGAAATTTATCATCTTGCCTGATCCATGTTATGCGCATGCCAGTTGGCCATCATATAAATTATGCATGCTTATTAACCTGAGTCAACTTTTCGCTTCGTTTTAGATGTAGCACCCCTGAATTCCTTATATGTCAAGGGACTTTTCTTAAGGGATGCGAACCCTATCCAAAGTTGATTGTTGCCAAGAATTGGTGTGGTATGATGTTCAGAAATGTTTCTAGAAGGTCCTAATTCATGTTTCTATCCATGTATCCAAAAGTCTTCTAAAACGACGAAAGAGGGGTGTCCACAAACTGAATCCTCGATACAAGGTTTTGCCTATTTGTAGACGGTGGTGTCCACGAAGAGGAACCCTTCCTCCAGCTTGTGGAATACTTTTTTCTTAGGGTGGAGACAGGCATTTTCCAAGTACACATAAGTTCATAGTATTTCATTCTTTTTATGACACATTTACGAGTACCTTTTTGCTCAGATGTTTTCTTTACTAGATGTACCTATCAATCCATCTTCCGGAGGGGAAAAAATACGGAGAACTTACGTGCTCTACATATCAGCTAGTACCCGATATGGTGCCCAGAAGTAACTCATTTTTTGTGGGATACGCGACGGTAGTCTGTGGATTGGACGCGTTGTCAAGTTTGTGGTCCCTAAAAGTATCCTATTGAATATCTATCGCAACCAATGGTGCTAGGCCCTTGGGAAAGTCAAGATAGGGTGATTTGCCTGTGCTGTCCGCAGAGAAAGAGTCAAGGTTTGTCAATTACATAAAGTAGTCTTCCATCGGGTGATTTAATCCTTACCAGTGAAGCTTTTCAAAATCATAATAATTTTATACACGAGACCAGCACTGTAAATTCGCATTACATGTACGAGAATACACGGAAGAACTAGCTTTATTGGTAAAGAAGTTTCTTAATAACAGAGAGGATCAAATAGGCCGTCTACTAATAACTTACCAGAAGAAAGATTTCTTGAATGATCAATGAATAAATATATATTTTTTGAGGGATCAGATCAAGGTCTCGTGA